TTCTGTGATTGCCACATTCTTCTGGATACAGACTGGAGGACTGTAGGAAGGAGGAATGTAAGCATTTGCTGAAACATAGTACTCTTTTCTGTTTCTAAGCACCTGTCTGTTACTGCCATCATCAACCCTAATGTTCTCCATCTTTCTCAGGGTACCTTGCTTCCCCTAATCTGTGATCACTTTACATATGGTCTTTTCTCTCCCCTGTACCTAAAGTCTCAGGTGAATCTTCTTCCCCACTGCCACACAAAGTAATTGTGCTCTAGCACCCTAGGAAAACCTGAAGTCTTTCTGCAGCCAACCTTTCCTGGACAAGGGCAGAGAGCTTCAGGAACTTTCTTTTCAAGAAGTGCCCAGTTGAACCTAGGGAGCCTCAGTCCTCAGGAACTAATGTGAAAGAAGATCTAGCTAGACAAACTGTGGAAAGAATATATTTACCTGCCATGACCTTTACGTTAGTTGTGAGGATAGTTCAAAAGTCTCTTTGCTTCACTACATGTACGCTGCTTGTATTGATATGTTGTGATATGGTCATCAAAATTGGAAGAAGGCATAGCATACCAGCTTGAAAGAATATTTTTACATTCAGGGGTTGCCATATGACTGGGTAAGCCACAACTGCTTCTAAAACACCTTTGCCGCACTCAACTTTTTCTGATTTAATTAGATCATATAGTTAGTGTCATGAATTTGGGATAGGAGCACCCTTCTGTCATGACTACTGTCCCTCACAAGTTTGAAAATGATTCACCATGCAGTATTATAAAGCAAAATGCTTTTGTTACTTTCATCAAGAGGCAATATGATACAAAGGTAGCTGTTTAGGATGAAGATGAAGACGAGTGAGTAGGAAAAGAAAATTAAAAAGTTATTTCCTGAGATTTATTATTTCTGGCACTAATTTTGGATATTGGGTTCTATATTTTAGACGGTAAAATCTCCGATGAGAACCAGGAGTTCTGTGTTTTATTCAATCAGAAAGTTTTGATGTATTTGGAGGGTCTTGTAATTTTCCTATTGTCCAAGTTCAAATAGCCATGATTCCATAGTAGAAGCTTATGGAGAATATGTGTGAAGGTGCTGAGTGCTGATTATAATAATCAGAAACAAAAGTAAAGCATTTCTTTGGTTTTGTAACTTCATATAATTCAATAGTATTTAAGTCATAGTCATATATATATATATTTTTTTTTAAAAATCTTAGTACTTGACTAAATTGGCAAACTTTCATATTATACAGTACAATAAGGTAAATACCTTTGTGAATTTTGCATAAGATCCTAAATATTGTTTTTTTTTTTTTTTTTTTTTTTTTTTTTTTTCAAAAAATGTAGATGTGGCCTTAATGATATGTTATTAATACTGTTTTGTAGTTTTCTCTTAAAAGTTTAAAATTCCAGTTTTCTCTTTTAGGTGTGGTGAAGAGAGTATGCACATCTCATCTTCTGAACAGTTTGATGGAATTAACCACAAACTTTGTGCAAGAATAGAAAAAGGTATTTTGTTAAATAATTTTTGCATATTGATGTAGTTGTCTTAATTTCCAGATTTGCCTCACAAGGACTGTCTTAAATCAACTGCATTGGATACTGCTTCACAGAGTTTATTTTGTAAGAGAAGTTTCTTAATCATAAAATTCATTTCTTCTGTACCAAGTCATAATATTTCTTTCAGAAAGTGCTTGTGCAGACCAAATTTCAGTAGTTTGAAATAACATGATTTATTTTCTCTGTGCACTTGTATATATTTTTATTTGCAGAGTACATAGTAGTCATGTATTTAGAACATGCCCATGAAATTAGTCAGGAAAGATAAAACAGCTGATTTCATTTCCTACTTTACTCTCCTTGGAGTTCTTCAGAATAGATGTGTTTAAGAGCAAATCCAAAGTGAGCATTTACTGTGCATGCCTCTTACCATTAGGATGATATTAAATAGCATGCTGAGCCCTCGAAAAGGTAAGCAAGCACCCTCTTGAAAACGCCAGAATAGCTTGGGCTCGATTCCCAGATCCACCACTATAAGCCATATAGACCTAACGACATCTGTAGAATACTCCTCTTACAGAACAGAACACACATTTAAGTGCATATGGAACACTCTTCAGGATAGATCATTAGGACATAAAATTAGCCTCAATACATGTAAAAAGGATATTTCAGTCCTTTTTGTATCATTTCAGATAGAAAAAGTATGTTCTTGACCACTATAGAATACAATTAGAACTAAGTAACAAAGGGAAATTTGGGAAATGAATGAATATGTTGAAATTAAATGATATACTCCTAATTTGGGAAATGCACAAATATGTGGAAATTAAATGATATACTCCTAATTTGGGAAATGCACAAATATGTGGAAATTAAATGATCTACTCCTAATTTGGGAAATGCACAAATATGTGGAAATTAAATAAGATACTTCTAAATAATCAGAGTCAAAGAAGAAATCACAAGGAAAATTAGAAAATAACTTGAGATAAATTAAAGTACTACATACCAAAATTTATGGACTGCAACTTAAAAAAGCAGTGTTTAGAGAGAAGTTTATAGATATAAATGCTTATTTAAAAAACAACAAAAAAGAAAGCTCTCAAATTGATAACCCAACTTTTCATCTTAAGAACTAGAAAAAGGGCCGGGCGCGATGGCTCAAGCCTGTAATCCCAGCACTTTGGGAGGCCGAGGCGGGTGGATCACGAGGTCAAGAGATCGAGACCATCCTGGTCAACATGGTGAAACCCCGTCTCTACTAAAAATACAAAAAATTAGCTGGGCATGGTGGTGCGTGCCTATAATCCCAGCTACTCAGGAGGCTGAGGCAGGAAAATTGCCTGAACCCAGGAGGCGGAGATTGCGGTGAGCCGAGATCGCGCCATTGCACTCTAGCCTGGGTAACAAGAGCGAAACTCCATCTTAAAAAAAAAAAAGAAGAACTAGAAAAAGAAAAGCAAACTAAACCTAAACAACCAGAAGAAAGAACATAATAAAGATGAAAGGGCAAATAAATGAAATAAAGAATAAAAACCAATAGAGAAAATCAATAAAAGCAAAAGTTGGTTCTTTGAAAGATTAGCAAAATTGATGAACCTTTAGCTAGACTAACCAGAAAAAAAGAACAATCAAGTACTAAAATTAGCAATGAAAGAGGGGTTATCACTACTGACTCTATAGAAATATAAAAAAAGGTTTTAAAGGAATACTCAGAATAATTAGATGAAAGGGATAAATTCCAGAAAGACAAAAACTACCAAAATGGAGTCAAGACGACAGAGAAAACCTGAACCTGTAAGAAGTTAAGTTATTGAATTACAGTTTTAAAAATTTCTCCTCTCACACACACAAAAACCCAGGCCCAAATGTCCTCAGTGTGAATTCTACCAAAAATTTTGAAAATAATTAACACCAATCCTTCACAGACTTCTCCAAAAAATACAGGAGGAGAGAATACTTCCTGACTGATTCTGTAGAGCCAGTGTATTACCCTGATAAAATGGACAAGACAACAACAACACAAGAAAACTATAGATGAATATCTTTGGTCTATAGTTGTGATGTAAAAATTCTCAACTACTGGAAAATTAAATCTAGTGCATATGAAAAGCATTAAAACCAAGACCAAATGGGATATATGTCAGGAATGCAAGATTGGTTTGACATACGAAAATCAGTGTTGACATCACATTAATGGAATAGAGAACAGAAGTCACATGAATATCTTAATAGACACAGAAAAAGCATTTGACAAAATCTAAGTCCCTTTTATCAGACAAATACTCAACAAACTAGAAATAGAAGAGAACTTCCTCACCTTGATAAAGAGAATCTACAAAAACTACACAGCTAACATCATACTTAATGATGGAAAACTGAAAGCTTGCCCTCTAAGATCAGGAACAAAACAAGAATGTGTTATCTTACTGTCTCTATTTAATATTATACTGGAGGTTCTAAGCAGGATAGTTAGGTAAGAAAAGGAAAAGCATCCAGATTGGAAAGGCAGAAGTAAAATGTTCTCTATTTGTAGATGACATCATATATGTAAAAAAAAATCTTAAGGAATTCACTAAAAAACTATTAGAACTAATAAGTGAATTCAGCAAGGTCAAAAAATATAAGATCAGTATAAAGATCAATTGTATTTATATACATTACTAATGGACATTATGGAAATTAAGAAATAAAGCTGAAAAATTAAGAAAACAATTACATTTGCAGTAGCATCAAATAGAATACTCAGAAATAAGGATTTACATAATAAGCAAAAGAAGTGCAAGACTTGCACTCCAAAAACTAAAAAATATTGTGAAAAGTTAAAGACCTAATAAGTGGAAAGACATCTGTGTTTTTGAATTAGAAAACTCACATTGTTAGAATGGTAATACACCCCAAATTCTTTTAGTTTCAGTGCAGTCTCTATGATAATTTCAGCTGCCCCTTTTGTGGAAATTGACAAGCTGACCCTAAAATTCATATGGAAATGCAAGGAATCCATAATAGCCAAAGTAGTATTGAAAAAGAAAAGCAAAATTAGAAAACTCCCCATTCTCAATTTCAAGACTTATTACAAAGCTATAATAATTAGCAGTGTGGTACTGGCATAAGGATAGACATACAGATCAATGGAATAGAATTAAGGGTCTAAACGTAAACTGTTTCATCCATAGGTACACTGATATTCAAAAAGCGTACCAAGACAATTCCATAATCTTTTCAGCCAGCAGTCTTGGGACAGCCAGATATCCTTACAAAGTATGTAAAAATTAACTTTTTCAAAAGGGTTCAAAGACCTAAATGTAAAAGGTAAAAACAATATAAAACTCTTAGAGGAAAACATAGACTGAAATCTTGTGTTAGGCAGTGGTTTTCTTAGATTGATACCCGAAGTATAAGAAACAAAAGAAAACTATGTAAGTTAGACTACACTAAAATTAAAAACTTTTGTATTTCAAAGGTTACCATCAAGAAAGTGAAAAGACTGCCCACAGAATGGGAGAAAATATTTGCAAATCATGTATCTGATAAGGAACTTGTATGCAGCATATATAAAGAACCCTTACAACTCAACAATAAAAACCCAATTAAAACTGGTCAAAGAAATTGAATAGACATTTTTCCAAAGAAGATCTGCAAATTGCCAATGAGCACATGAAAAGATACTCAGCATTGTTAGTCATTAGGGAATAGCCACAATGGGATACCACTTCATGCGTTTTGGGATGGCTATAATTTAAAAATGGACAAAAACAAGTATTAGGATATGTTGACATTGGAAACCCCATACATTACTGGTGGGAATGTAAATGGAAAACTTCTCTGAAAAACAATCTGGAAAATCCTCAAAAGGTTAAACATAGAGTTATTCTAAGACCCAGCCTGTATTTATATTGAAAACCTATTCTATTCCTATATGTAACAATGTAAAGGGGTAAATATTACAGTTTGGGAAGTATATCACAAATAGCTCCTCCTGTGTGGTCTGTTACTGTACCAAATGCTTAGTACCATATGAACACAAAGGGATGTGAACCCTACCCTCTAGAGCTTCTTGTCTGTTGGGAGCATGAGGCATTACAATGGTGGTAAGTACCACCAGGGAGAGATACGGGGGCCACTAAGACTATTAACAGGGGTATTTGAACCTAGGTCAGCGACAGTTATCTTAAGGAGATGATTTTGCCTTGAGATCCGAAGGATGAATCCAAGTTATCAAGGCAAAAATGGCATTAGAAAAGAGGGATTACAGGAAGGGGGTGGGGGTGGGCAGCATGTGTAAAGACTGTCCAGAGAGTCACAGGGTGTTCAGGAAATGGCAGGAAGGTCAGCGTGGCTGAGACAAAGAAAATGATGGGGCCGAGAAGGTCCAGACCTGACTGCAAAACCTCGTCAGTGTGTTACCACTTTGGAAGCTTTTCAGTCTGGGGAGACACATTCTAATTTGTGTTTTGAAAATGTCACTGTAGCTGTGTCAGTTAGAAAAGGGGCAGGAGTGGAAGTGGGAGGGACCAGTGAAGAGTACTCATGGTCTAGGCAAGGACTGATAGAGCAACTTGCACCGGACGGTTGGCAGTGGAAACAAGGAAAAGGGGACACATCCAAAGCCTTTTTAGAAGATAAAATGGACACTATTTGGTGAAAGCCGAGATAGGGAAGCAAGGGACAGAGGTGTAAGGCATGGCTCCCAGCCACTGGACTTTGGAAAGTGAATGATTTGGAGGGCTATTTCTAAGCCAGAGATTTTCCTTCATGATACACTTTGTTATGAACAAGTTGAAGTAAAATGAATGGATTATTTTCTATTGGCACGTACCTCTTCTTACCAAGGCAGTCATGTATACTACAGAATTAGGGGATTTGCTGATAGCAAATATTTGGGGAGAGTACAAATTTTGGAAAATCAGACAGTTTTTTTGATTTGCCAGATGAATCTTGCTCTGGAGTCTCTGTTGTCCTAGTCTGTCTCCTGTGTCTTCTTCTAATGTGTTTGGCCTTGCTGATCTTCGCCCAGTGCTGTAGGGATCATCTGTCATGTGAGTGTCTTCATTTTTATGTAAGTAATGAAAATAGACTCTGAATAATTTTCTGGCAGGTAACTAACTTCCAATGAGAAATATCTGGACTGAACTTAGTTTTAGCAATTTCTTATTTCCTTGGCCAGCCAAAGTCTTAAAATGCCAAGTTCTTTGGTGATGCTTTTATTCTCCAGTTATGTGGAAGTGATGGTGTTTTCTTATAACTTCTAAAAGCCACATTAGCAATTTAACACTACACTGAAATAAATTTTAATTTTTTCTAAAAATGTTTTCATATGATCCCTGAAGAGTTAGTTACTAGGCATCTACTTGCATTTTGGATGCCAGCACACAGAACCAACTGACCAGTAAAGGCCTTATGAGGAAAAGAGTGTGCAAATGGGTTGTGATTTCAGTTATAACTGTTACAAGAAAGGCAACTTCCTGATTATTGGTGTTTATTGCTAATATATCAGTAATGGGCAAATATTATAAATCTATAAATGCCAAATACAGCAAAGCTGGAGGCAAATTGTATTAGGAGAATCAGGACAGTCATTTAGAGAAAATCATAGTGACCTGCCTTTTGCATTTTTCTCCTGGGGTATTTTCACTAACATTTGTTCTCATGAAGCAACATACACAGGAAGGAATCATGGACTACTGTTCCTAATTTTTCCATGAGAGCACTGACGTTCACATCTGTTTAAATCAAGTTTCCATTTTTCTTTCTGGAGTATAGACAATCTAAAGATTAGCTCTTGATGAGCATTAACTATCATTGTTTTCTATGTGTACTTACTCTGTTGTGCATTTTAATTTCTGAGAATACTGAGGACAGAACCCAGTACCTGTCTTCAAACCTCAGCTCCACATTTTACTGGCTGGTGAGCTTAAATAAGTTGCTTAACTTCTCTGTGCCTGAATTTTCTTGTATGTAAAATGGGGGTCATAAAACATCCATCCCAAGGCTGTGGTGAGAATTAAATAAATTAGCACATATTGAAAATGCCTAGAACACTGTTTGGGGCCTTAGTAATCTCAAAATAAATGTTAGTTACTGCTACTGTTATACCAATAAAATAGCTCTCTAACTCCCACCTGGAAATTAAGAGGTTAATTCAGTTATGGTTATTGGTAGGGGTGGTTTTCTTTGCTGTTTGGGCCATTTTGGTGGAGTACGTTCAATACATTTGCTATTCCTTATTTCTTTTTAAAAAGATTATTGAAATGTAATGAATTCTGAAACAACCCATTAATAAGATGAATTTTTCAATGATAATGTACCTGAAGAGTATAGTATTATAATCCCATTTTGGAAGTTACCTGTAGTTATTTCTTTAAAGCCTTTGCTTTTGTGACGGAAAGCCTGATATTTATAAGGTAGACAAACTCTGGAGGCTTTTAGCAGCTGTACTTGGAGAGCATGTGCTTGAATTCTGTCATAGCAATCATTTAGGCAAACAACCTTTTATTCTGTCTGTGTGCTGTTTTTAACTGTGATGTGGATCCTTTTTCTTTGGTTAGTTATATAATCTTTATTTAGCATATTCTCTCCCTTGAATATCTGCAAAAGCTTGTAACTCCTTTTTTTTTTTTTAAAGATTTATATCATTCAAAGTTAATTCATCAAATATTTTTGAAAGACTTCCGTCCAAGGTCCTGAAGCTAATAATGTGACAGACTTGCACTCTGCCCTTGTAGAGTTTTCAGAGGTGAGGAAGCTAGATGTTAAGCTAATATAAGTATGGTGAGTGTTGGGAAAGGAGAATTAAATTGTGCAAAGAGAATATAGAATAACAGGACCTTAACTAATCTGAAGAAAGCAGAGATTATTCTTTGGATTTTTTTTTATTTATGCTGATTTTGAGAATTCATCCTTAACTAAAGATCTGTTACTAAGTTGAAGTTATTTTTAGTTTAGAAAAAGTATTGAATGAAAATGTTAAGAAATTATATATGGTGTCCCTCTTATTGATACAGACACAACCTACTAAATTGCCATATTGGATGATTGATGGATGCACTTTACACATTTGATTTTGTATGTATTGAGTTAATGGTACCATGAAATTGGAATGCGGAAAATACAAAAAGTGAAAAAAGCACTACTTGAAAATCAAGATATCTGTTCTTCATAAACAGAAATATGTTTTTAAAGTGGATTCTAACTAGACGTTCCCCCCTTTTAGAACGGTTATTTTTTAGCATAAAAATAGATGGTTATGTAGTTACATACATATTATATAGTTGAATATATACAATATAGTTATATATGTGTACATAAATGCACACACATACATGTATATATCCAATTAAAGGTGGAAGTGCCACCAAGTTAAGCCCCAAAAGTAACCGCTGTTGGTAATTTGATGTCTCTCTGTGAGAACACAACTTTTTTTTTCCTTTAAAGGCAAATGAGATCAGAGTATACTTACTGTCCACAGCTTAATTCACTTAAGATGATGTTATGGACATCTTCCCCTGGCAGTGTTGACTGAGAACCACCTGTCTCCCTAGATCTACTTTATTCTTGTTCTTATTGTTGATACTGCTGTTTTAAGTTATATTCTTAAATTCAAAAGTTTTACAAAAAAAGTATACAGTAGAAAGTCATTTTTCTTTCCAATTCTTCCTTTTCTAGATGCTACCACCCTTAGCAATTTTTTACCTCTTGAAATCATCCTGTTATTTTTATATGCCTTTACTTACGCTAAAATTAACCCCTCAAACTAACCACTCATGGGAAACCAAATGTTCAGTGAATTTATAGCAGCATCCAATTGATTTTGTAATATTATATTTAATATCATACTTAATTGCATTTAAGATTGTATACCAGAATGATAACTGATTTCCCATACGTTGTATTTCCGTTTCAAGTTTAATGCTGTGTGATTGTTGTTAGAGGATACAGTCTAGAGGTGAGAAATCTGTCAGCAGTTTAGATCCTTAAAGTAACTGTTTCAGGAGCAACCCCACAAGGCCCTGTATGCTGCAGAGCACTGCCCCTACATGTCCTCATCCATGTCTGCTTGTCTCACTGTCAGTGTTGAGAGTACATACCCGGGTCATGAAGAGCCCAGGAGGAAATGACCTTGCTGCTTTAATCTCAAAGCTAATTTAGGGCTTTACTGCTCATCTCCGTGTTGCTGTATTTTCATCTGATGATTGTAATCTGGAACCACTGGGCTAACTTGCCATTCTCAGCTAGACTGTTAATGCAAGAGCCTGGGGAGTAGAGGTGGCTGGGTGGTGATAGATTTAAGGCGGGTAGGGAATCTACTCTGCCGGGACGAATCTGGAGCTGAGAAGATGGTATTCATTGAAAGACTTGTTCTATAACACTGGATCTTTCATCAGAAGCTAATACTAAGGTAGCCTTATGAACAAGATTACCTGGAAACCCCCTGCCTTTCTGATAAACTCACCAGAGAACGTGGGGGGATAGTGTTGGAGGAAATATAGAAAGAAATTAACCAGATCCAATCTTCAGAGTGGCTGTCTTGATATCTTATGGTCTGAAGAGCCCTAGGCTAGTACTTCCTTTTTATAGGCAGTATTTACTTTTGTGTAAGATATGTTTTTCAAAAACTATCCAGATATACAGTGTGTAAAAGTAAAATAAACAAAAAGACATATGTTAAGAAGATATTCCTGTCCCAGAGAACTGGTAAAACATTATACAATTGAAAAAGAATATGTCATTCTTTCTGACATAGATGCATGTCTAGTATAAATATTGTATACTTTGTAAATATTCTTTAGTTTTATCATTTTTCTTTGCAATTCAGCACATGCCTGGCTTAAGTCAAGTATGCATCCTGTAAAGTTAAAGACTTGCCACATAAAATATCCTGATTGCCATTTTTGCCTAAATGTTTATTGTTTACAAGACCTGTTCTTCATATCACTACTATGATCACATTTACTTTTATTATGGTAAAAAACACATAACATAAAATTTACCTTCTTAACCCTTTTTAAGTATGCAGTTCAGTAGTGTTAATTACATTCACATTGTTGTGCAGCCAAACTCTAGAATTTTTCATCTTGTAAAACTGGAACCGTGTACCCTTCAAACAGCTCTCTATTTCTCACTGGTTTCTTCTCTTCCTGCCCATCCCTCCCCCCCCACCACATCCCTCTAGCCCCTAGAAGCCACCATTCTGCTGTCTTTGAATTTCATTACTTTACATACCTGATATATGCAGAATCATACAATCTTTGCCCTTTTCTGACTGGCTGTTTGATTTAACACAGTCTCCTCAAGGTTCACGCATATTGAGCATGTGTCAGAACTTCCTTTCTTTTTAAAGTTGAGTAATATTCTGTTGTATGTATATATCACATTTTGTTTATCCATTTATCTGTCACTGGGCAGTTGAGTTGCTTCACCTCTTGGCTACCATGAAAAATGCTGCTATGAGCAAGGATGTGCATATGTCTCTTTGAGATCTTGCTTTCAGTTCTTTTTGATATTCACACTGATGCGGAATTCCTAGACCATATGATAATTCTATTTTTAAATTTTTGAGGTACTGCTGTACAGTATTCCATAGTTTCTGTACCATTTTACATTTCCATTGGTAAACGAGTTTCAGTTTCTCCATATCCTCACCAACATTTGTTATTTTCTGAGTTTTTTTTTAATAGTAGCCATCCTAATGAGTGTGAGGTGATATCTCATTGTGATTTTGATTTGCATTTTTCTAATTAGTGGTGTTGTACATCTTTTAATATGCTTGTTGGCCACTTGTACCTCATCTTTAGAGAAATGTCTATATAAATCCTTCGCTTATGTTTAAGTTGGGTTATTTGGTTTTTGTTGAGTCCTAAGAGTTCTTTGTATATTCTGAATGTTAATCACTTGTCAGATAATTATTTGCAAATATTTTCTTCCATTCTATAAGTTGCCCTTTCACTCTGTTGATTGTATTCATTGATACAAGGAAGTTTTAAACTTTGATGTAGTCCAGTTTATCTATTTTTACCTTTGCTGTCCATGTTTGTGGTATCATCTCCGTCACATTTACTTTTAATCATTTCATCTCCAAACACCCAAATTAATTTTTCTAAAATAAGAACAAAATGTAATGAAATATTTAAATAATTATACAATAACTTTTGCAAAGACAAAGATGGCTACCTCCCAAAAGTGAACTCTTGGCTGGTGAGGCGGCACCAGCATGCCCTAACTTGAAGTGTTGTTCCATCAGCGACTGTGAAAATGTACACATTTGAAGTGCGAAATGCAGTTTGAGGTGTGGATCTAGAGATAGACTGTGGGAACATGGTCAAATATAGGAAAACAAAGGAAGAAGAAAGCACTCCTAGTTGTATCCTTTAATTGGAAGCCTTGAATATCCACAATTAAACCATTTAACAGATCCTTGCAGGAAAAAGATGGTCCTTTAGGGCCTTCTACATTCTTATTCTCACCTTTCCTATGTGGTAATTCCTCATAGTCAGCTAATACCTCTAAACAGGGACAAATTAGACATTTTTGTTCTAAGGTTCACTTTCAAATTTAGAGAAATAAAGATGTTCTTCAAATATTTAACTTTTATCTCAACCTAAATTTTAATAAACTATTGTAGTTGACCAGCAGCATGGCCGCTTATACCAATTAGTAGTTATTGACTATCAAGAGTATCATCAGTGTACAAAAACATACTATAAGTATCTTTTCCAACTGCAAGAGTATATGAACTAGTGTTTGAGTGGTTTTCTGTATCTTCTGAGATATTTAAAGAAACTGGAATTTAAGTGACTTTTCTTCAAATGCTACATCTTCTTGTATAATAATGTTGTCATTGTTCCTTTTTTCTTCCTTTTTCATTCTTTTGTGATTGCTACTTACTCTTCTTTCTCTTGCTCATTAGTC